AAGTAAAAGGGGCATGAAATATAGCTGGGAAAAAAAAAAAAAAAAAAAAAAAAAAAAAAAATCAACCTTGCGGCGGGGTTTAGCTCAATGGTGCCACCACCTGCCTCACAAGTACAAAGACCCAAGTTTGATCCTCGGTACCAAAAAACAAAACAAACAAAAAAAACAAGGGGCAGTGGGATCACATCTGAGCTCTTGATAAGATAGTCCACACAGGAATGTGGAAGCCAGAGAAGACCAGCAAGAAAAGGAGACAAACTGGGAGGAGGTGATAGGCCCTGAGCCAGGGATATGGCAGGGAAGCACACAGGTTTAGTCAGGCCATTCTGGGTGAAGCCCTGGCTCAGCCACTTACTGTATGACATTGGATTTGTCACTGGAACGCCGAGAGCCTTAGTTTCTTCTTTTGTATAAAACTGTACCTCCCAGCAGGGTTGCTGTTTACACGAGAGAATGAATACAGGCCTGTCTCATAACAAGTGCTTAATTAGCAACAGCTGCTATTATCCTCATCACTGCTATTATTATGATGGGACAGATTTGAGAGGGATGATGGGGGAGAATGGAGGAACCCTGAGATGGACTGGATGAGGGAGAAAGAGTTTTTTGGTCAGCACAACAGGGATTATGTTACAAAAACGAGGATGCAGGAGCGGGTGTGGGGAAATATGGTTGGGCCAGTGCTGGACATCTGAGTTCTTCAGCTGGTCTGGAGCCTGTGAAATGCACCTGAGGACAGGAAAGCATGTGCTCCAAGTAAGCAACACTGCGTTTTCAACCCAGACTTTGTCCTCCATGACTTGGAGACTAGACTAGGGGCAAATTAACATCCCTCAAAGCAGTCTCCTCATCTGGAAATGCAGACCATGTAGTATACTGGGTACAATCACGGAAATTTGAATTCATAGATACCAAGTATAAACACAAGCGTAAAGCAAAAAAGGAGTCCATATTGACAACTGTTTAGATGCAAGAATCACAGGAAACAAGACAGAAGCCAAATTACCAAAGTAGCCAGAACCAGGAAGCAGCTTAAGAGTCAGGAAGCAGAAAAGATGGAGTGGGGTGGAGGAACAGAGATGAACCAATAAAAACACCTTGAAGGGGCTGGAGATGTAGCTCAGGGGTAGAGCACATGCTTAGCAGATGGGGAGTGCAGAGGAGGAACTCTTTTTTTCTGTATCGGGACTCAAACTCAGGGACTCTTGCTTGCCAGGCAGATGCTGCACCTCATAGCTGAGCTACATTCCCCACCCTGGAGGCAAGAAGAGAGTTAAAAATCACAAAAGAACCAGGCATGGTGACACATGCCTGAAATTCCAGCACTTGGAAGACTGAGGTAGTTTGATGGAGGCCAGCCTGAGCTACACAGTGAGTTCAAGACTGCACTGAACTACATAATGGGACAAAACAAACATAAAAATCAACAAAAGGTCAATCAAGGGAAAAACTAAATCGAGGTCCCCAGATTTGCTGGTAAGTAGAAAGGTCTTGGTGACCTTTGTCACCAAGAGGGTGAACATAGCTCACCCTCAGCTATCTGTCCAGAGCTGGGGAGGTAGTGGCAGAGGATCAAGAGTCCCAGAGAGCCAAAATTCCACTGCCCCTCAAAGCAGGGACTCCTGCTAGCCCAGGGCTGATGTCAGTTCCTATGTCCCCAAGGCCTGGCTCCTATTAAGCAACAAGGTTTGGTAGAAAAAACAAAACAAGTGGGATCTGGAGAATAGGCTTTCTATCTGTGCAACTCAACCAGCTAGAGCAGCCTCTGCAACCTCACCACCCTGAAACCAAGTCCTCATCTGTAAGATGGGAACATGACACAGACCTTATAAGCATCAAAAGACAATTTGTCTCAGTGGTGCATGCCTGCAGTATCAGCTACATGGAAGGCTGAAGCAGAAGGATCACATGAGTCCAGGAGTTTGGGACAAATATAGGCAACATAGTGAGAGCCCACCCCAAAAGGAATTTGAAGGCTATGATTTTGTAAGCAATAAAATATGGACTTTTGGGCTGCTGCCATGACCACTAATACCAGAGACACGTGAATGAAGCCACCACAGCACATACAGGGCTCCTAGACCTCTGTTCACACTGGGCCCAGAGCCCAAATGACTAAGGCCCTCCAATTGTTCCCCCCAGTATCTTCACACAGGAAGCCACGGCCCAGCAGAGCAGCCAATCAAGTGACTACACCTCCGAAACACACATGCATCGGGAAGGTCTAGAACAAGGTGGAGGGGAGGTGTGAGGCATGGTTCTGCCAAGACTGCAGCAGGGCCTTGATGGGATCCATTTCTGTGGCTGTTTCCCTCTTTATGAAATGAGTACAGTCTCCATTCCAGGAAGCATCATGAAGAGTAAAAAGAAACAAAATCTAAGGCCAAAAAGGCAAAGCTGGGCAGAGTAAGTCCAGGAATATCTACCTGGTCAGTGACATCGTACACCACGATGATGCCATGAGCCCCCCGGTAGTAGCTGGAAGTAATGGTCCGAAACCGTTCCTGGCCGGCTGTGTCCCACTGTAACACAGTAGGGAGAGAGGAAGGTCAGCCTGGTCAAGCCCCTCCCCATGAAAGGTTTGTGCCTGTCCCAGGGGCTGGGGAAAAGCCACTTACAATCTGAAGTTTGATGGTTTTGCCATCCAGCTCAATGGTTCGGATCTTGAAGTCCACCCCAATGGTGCTGATGTAGCTCTCTGTGTATGTGTCATCCTGGAAGGTTGGGGCCAGCGAAATGGCCTGAATGAATGGATCCAAGGCCTACTTCAAAAGCCCCCCACCAATTTCCTGCCCAGCCAGCACCTAATTGCCAAACTCCAGTTCTTAGTACCCCATCTTATCAGCCCAGTCCCCTATTCAGTCAGATGAATTGCTGGCAGGTTTGTAAAACCTCATCCTTGGATCTCAGGTCTTACAACTACTGTGCTGTCTGGGTTGTCCCTTTTTCCCCTCCAAGCTGCCACCAGCCAGGACCCCAGATGGAAGATGTGGGTTTCTTACTCACAGCAAACCGCAGGAGCAGGCATGACTTGCCCACACCCGAGTCACCAATCAAAAGCAGCTTAAACAGGTAGTCACTGGAGAGAGAAAACAGGAAGGGCGGCATGAAGGAAGGCAAAAAATTCACCTACCAACACCACTACAGCATCTCCACATTATGAGGCATGTCTTCATCTGGTATATTACAGTACTCAACAGATCTCACCAGATCCTGGGGCAAAGGAAGATTGAACTTTCCCCCCATAAGATAGCCTACAGGTCTCTCAGCTTCCTGAGTCTGAATTTCAACTTTTATGGAAAAAGAAACTGAGATGCAGAGAAGGATTTGATGTTCCAAGAAACTCAATCAATTAAGTGTCAGAGCTAGGTATTCTATCCTGATTATGACAGAATCCACGGTTCTGTCTTGTTTAGGATATTTACAGAACCTGTAGCTCGTTCTGTGGCGTGTGCTACTAGGCAGGGGAGACAGGCCACTAAAGTGGAAGTAAAGGGCCAGTGCAGAAGCTATTTAAAAAAAAAAGTAAAAACTCTTGATATGAAGTCACCAATAAGCAGTAGTCAACAAGTGGAAATGATAACTGCACTTCACATTGAAAGATGTCATTGGCGTTACTGCATTAAGAGACTTGCTCTAAGTTACATAGCTGATAACTCTGAGATTCCAAACAAACCAGGCCTGTCAGACACTGTGAGAGCCGGCCAGCTTCCTTCTCTGTTCCCCTTCCTAATCCGGCTCAGAGAGGCACCCCCTTCCCCAAGGAAATCTGAGGTCTGTCGCTACAAAAGAAAAAGGAAGCGGCAGAAGAGGAAGATGATAGCTGATACTTGGGAAAAACTAAAAATTCAGGGCAGGAAATGTGGGCCACCTATCAGCCAGGGGAGTGACCAAGAAGTCAGTACAATTTGAGGACTAGGGAATCCCATTGTAAGGGGGAAAGAGAGGAAAAGCAAATTCCACATCCACCTAAACTTCTCTGGCAATATGTCAGCGAAGGGAAGGGGTGCAACGGTGGTGAAGGGGATGTGAGGACAAATCGCCTGGAGCGCCCGGTAAGTGTGACCGGGGCAGGCCAGGGCAGGCGCAGCCCAGGAGTGGCTGACCTAAAAGGGATGAGAAACAAGTAGCGCTTCGGGGCCACCCTCATCTGGCCAGTCTCTAGATCAGCCCCGGGAACCAGGCTCCAGAAGAGAAGGGCAGGAGGATTTACAGTCTGACCTAAAGTACTTGAATATGAAGCATTCGAAACCAGAAGCTACTGTGACGGGCTCCACACCACGGGGACCGTCTTTAAGCAGCAGATGGGGAAACTGAGGCCTGGGAAGACTGGGGTTGCGGGATCACCTGACCAAAAAGGCCTGGTGGACCACTGCCTCGGACTCCAAGTGCTGCCCCTAGGGGTCGCCGCCTCTGGGGCCCCAGGTGGGATGACTCGGGGTGTCAAGCCGGGGTCCTCTGTCCCCCGGGGGGAGGGGCAGAACCCGGATGTGCGTGGGGGAGTCAGCGGAAGAGGGACCCGGATGTGGGGGCGCCGCTCAGTCCTGACCCAGGCCAGACAACCCTGGTAAGCGTACAGCCCCGTCCTCGGGATCGAGGCTGCGCCAAACGGCGCGGGCGGGGCTCACTCACTATTCGGGGTTCATGGCGGCAGCGGAGGCCCGCTCGGTCGCTCCCAGTCGGCTCTGCTCCGCCTCCGTTCCAAAATGGTGGCGGCTCCGCCCCAGAGGCCCCGCCCGCCACGCGCAAAAGCAAGCGTTCTCGAGTCCGGCCAAGCCGTGCTGCTTCCTGGGACTTGCAGTCTCCTTGGTAGCGACGCGACCCTGCTGCGCAGGCGTATCCGTTCAGAGAGGCGAGCACGCCTGCGCCGCTGGCGCAATGCCTCCTGGGCTCGTAGTTTTCTTTTTTTGGGGGGCGGGTACAGACGGTCGAACTCAGGACCTTGAGTTTGAGAGGCTGGCAGCGGCACCGCTGAGCTAAATCCCCGGCCCAGCAGTTTTCTTACTGGACGGACCTAGCTGGGGGACCAAGTTCTGAGCCCGGCATCAACTCGGTGGGTGCAAGTTCAATTTAGTGCTGGGCTTCGCGCAGGTCGCATGTCTGACTGGGGTAGCCATCCTCACCCTCTTGGCTTTGGCAGTAAAGGTTCATCGTTCTTGGGTTTTTGGTTTCCTGCACTCTGCAGCCCCAGGAGGCTGTTACCACTACATTTTTTTTTTTCTTGACAGGGTCTCACTATGTAGTTCGGGCTGGACTTGAACTCACAGTGTAGCCCAGGGTGGCCTCAAACTCACGGCGATCCTCCTGTCTCAGCCTCCCAAGCGCTGGATTACGGGCTTGCGCCACCATACTCGGCACCACCCCATTTTGTACAAGAAAAATCGTCTCGGGAAACTCGCTCACATTCAAACAGTACATTAATGGGTAGAGCTCATCAAAGCTCAAACTATCTAGAATCCCAGAATTGAAGGTTTTAGAAATCACGCACCTGTGGCACCCCGGAAGTACTCCAGGGTAGTCTAACTCGCGGGACTGGTTGAGAGGCAAGCGGGCGCGCGCACACA